CCGAGAATATTATTCTCTGGCACATTAATAGCATAAAATGGGTATGGGGGAAAAATTCAGTGGCAGAGTTGGAATACTAGAATTCTTTGCTTTTAGAGGTTTAAAGCTAAAATGTAAGTTTTTCCAAAAATGGCTACACTTAAAAGCAATGCAGCTCGCTGCCCTCCATTTGCAAACATTTTTGTTTTGTCAGGATACACAGTCTGAAGGTTGATGCAGATTTTTTTATTTTTAAAACTCTCAAGCTTTTTTAGATCCTGACAAGCAATTTTCAGTCACCTCCTATATCTTCCTGGGCAATCAGAAACTTCAGAGAGAAGTTTGTGGCTAGGATGAAAGACTAGCTGAACATGTGTTCCCCATGCACAATAGAAAATAAGGAATGATGGGTTTTATGTTGATGTCAACATTTATATGAAAATTGTGCATGGCAAAGATTTCTATTTATCTTAGAGATTTCATGATCCAGAACAAATGGCCACTGATAATAGCAATCAAGGTGTGGTGGAGTGATAAAGAAAAAAAATAACAGACTGTCAGCCCCGTCACATAATAGCTGCTGTGTAGTTGTGGTAAAGACTGTTTTGACATTGATTGCAATCACAAAAGTCTTGGTTTTGTCCTTGAATTTACAAAAGCATGCAAAGAACCAGAAGTAGATATACATACTTTGTTGTGTGTTTGGACAGCTTATTTGCCATCCTAAACATTCCCTATCTGAGGAATGCAGGCAATTTCCCTTTTCTGTGTACAAGCCATTTTCCTTCAAGGAACACAGCTGCAGAGTAATCATGATCTGCATTTAAAATGCCAACAGCTGCACAAAGAAACAAATAAATGTCATCTACTAATAAACAAGGAAGAGCAGCGGCTTTGCATAATGTTGCACATCTAAAGTATTTGATAAATAACATTATGAATTACAGATGCTTTTAATAGGCATTTGTAACTATCTTTATGTACTTTTAACTTTTTCTTTTTAGTTAACTTGTGTCATACTTTAATTAGCCACATTATCCAGATTTTGATTATTACTTGTCATGGCCCGCAGTGATGCCAAACAAAGAACTCTAGCAACGAGACAGAAATCAGTGGCATGCTATAAAAACAGATCTGTAAAAGAAACTCAAAAAATGTCATGAATGCAACAAATGTATAATCTCAATAAAAGGGAAAAAATGCATCCAGTGAAACCAGAAGTACTTTCTTTTGCATCTGCTTAATCCTATTTAAGGCTTCAAAAGAAACACAGCTGACAGGTCATAGATAAAGCTGGGAAGAAGTCAGGTTTTAAAAACTTTCCCAAGCCAAGAACATTTCACAGAGCGCTGTTCAATAAATGCAGAAATGGCAAAAGAATAAAACAACTGTAAATCTAACAAGACATGAGCATCCACAGAGAGTTAATCTGGAGGGACTCCTGAGAACAAGCATAGAGGGAAGACTTTTTCAACAAAATAATTGTTAACCATGCACTCAAACAAAGGCTTTTATGCAAGTGTGTCACAAAGGTCATTCTAGGGAAAAGAAACTACAAGAAGTCTTATTTACATATTGTTGTAAACCATGTTGGGAATGCAGCAAAAGAGGAACTCGAATTTTTTTGTCTTACATTTAGAACCCTATATGTCAAGCATTCCTAAAGTCGGACTTCGAGGGCCGCTGTCCTTCAGGTTTTAGAGGTTTCCCTGCTTTAGCACAGCTGATTATGATGATTGCAGTTTAGCAGATTGCAGATTAGCAGTTTAGATGATTGCAGTTGTGCTGGAGCTAGGAAACCTCTAAAACCTGCAGGACAGCAACTCTCGAGGACCGACTTTGGGGATACCTGCTATATATTGTATTTAATCTCCATTGTGCATCAGCCTAAAACAGCATCCAGGCAGTGATTAATGTCGGTGGTCAAGTCGCTGGTATCATGCTGTGGGAAGGCTTTTATTCTGGCAGGGAAGTTGGTCAGAGTTGATGGGGAAATGGATGAGGCCTAAGAAAGGGGAGGGCATTTACTTTACTGGAGGACAATCATCTTATCCTAAGCTTTCAACCAGAGCTTCACTGAATAGTTTAGATCTGGAGTATCTAACTATCTAAAGTAATGGCCCATTTCTTCTACCAGGTGTCTGCAGCGCTGAAAACTTGCTGATGAGGGAATCATCCATTAGAGGTGTATTGGAGTTACAGGACAGTAGCTCCAGTCAAAGTCCAGATCTAAATCTATTTGACAATCTGTGGCAAAAGAAGAAAATTTATGTTTACAGATCCTCCCCATTTATACAGACTTAACATGAGCTTTTATACATAGAAGAATTAATCAGTCTCTCAGTGTGAAAAGCAAGGAAACAAACCAAAAAAGAGTTGCCAATTTAACTGCAAGACATGGTCGCTCTACCAAGCAGAGAATTCGAATACACATACTGACACGCACTGACACCTTGACACTAATGTGGCATCAATTTGCCTACATCCTTTCCCCAATTTAAATGCCATTATATCAACATCATCCTGTTACATCCAAATTAGGTTAAGACAAATTGATTATTTTTCCTTCCTCAGTTTTAAACATCAGGAGCACATTTTAGAAAATTTGTTCAGAAGGAGGAAGTTGGACTCAAGGTGAAACAAATCCTGATTTGCTGTCATGGTTGGTAACAGATAATGTTGGTTTTCCCGTTTCTCATTTAATCTGCACTGTTATCAATTGTAGTTAAATCTGTAACATCTCTCCAAGCTTTGCTGAGATTTCCTTCGCCTCTTAAGTTTCCGCTTGAAGAGGAAAAGCTGTAACATAATCAGAGGGGATTGAATTTAGAATGTAAGTGAGGATGTTTAGCGTAATGCTAAGAGATTCAATAAGCAGAGAATAGTGTAGAGCCACAGAGATAAAAGCAGAAGCCTCCATATTTTCAGTGCAACTTAGTTAGAAAACTCTTTTATTTTAGTTTTCCTTAAAAATAGACCACTGTCCATCACTGAGCACAAGTATACTGTACTCACAGGAGCTGGAAACTTTAGAAAAGTCAACACCTGAGCTTAATCTAGATGGAAGCATAGTGAGACATTTTTTGTTGTAACCGCATATATGTTTCTCTTTTTCAGAAGGTAAAAGTGAAATGATGTCATTATCATTAACAAAGCTATAAAAATGGGGACATTTTTTTCTTTGTCTGGTATTTAATCAAAAGCATATGGCCAACGCCTTACTTGGGAAATATCAAAGTGACAAAGGAGACACATAATACACAGATGGAAAAAATATATATTCACTTTAATCAAGTCCATACTAAAGTATGTCTTAATTAATCCACTTTGACAAAATGATGTATATTTAATCTATCAAGATGAAAACAAATTCATCAAGGTGTTTCATTTTGTGAATTATTTTGCTCATGTTTCTTTTCAGCAGATATAAACTTTAATGGCTCAAGCTAATATTTTTGGAATTATAATTAAATGAGGTGGTTTCTAAACCCTGATATTGTGAGATGATGATGTGATGATGTGATCCCAGGGGTCTAAGGAGTTGAATGTGCAATGAAATGAATTAAAATAATAAACGATAATAAATTAGATTTTTATGTCCAAATATTTAATCTTAGGGGGTTCACCAGCCCAGGGCACTGATATTTTTGGGGTCAAGGCTGGAAATCTTTTGGAATGCCTGCTTTTGATAGTCCTCTGCAGTCACACACCGTAACATGCATCGACAAAACTTAAAGCAGCATTATGTAAATTTTAACTATTAGCTGACATTGAGATTATATTACGCATTAATGCTCAGAATAGTCTGCTCTCCTCAAAATCAGACTTGAGAGGTTCTGAATGTCTGTGAATGGGTCATGTGACCTAAAGCACCATTGTATGGCAGTCTAAACTCCCTTTAAACATGAGAGCTAACTAAGCTAAAAAATGTTTTCCAAAACAACAGAAATGACTCTTTTGGTTCTAGAGCAGGGATAGCAGTTATCATTCCGAGGGCCGATGGTCACATTTAGATGTGTCTCTTCTTCAGCTCACTTGACTTCAAACATAGAATTAATTAAGCCATCTAATTAGAGTGTTGGACCAGGAAGATATCTAAAGATTGCAGAATACCATCAATACCTAATTTTGACATTCCTGATGTAGAGGAGTAAATGTCTTTACAAGGAACTTCATGACTTCTCAGTTATTCTTTAAGTTTGTTAGACGTTTTCATGATAAGTGCAATCCAAAAGGAGATAGGAAGAGGAAGGATGCTTTTATGCTTTTAGCATAGAGACCTCGCAGCGTTCCTACCTGCTAAGTAGGAGCTTTACAGCTGCCCACAATCCTTTGCGTAACAGAACGCTAACCTCACAAACATACATTATTTACTACATTTATTGTGTGTTTCAGATGTTCATACCTTCATATGTTTTGGTTTTACAATGGAGAGCTTCAGCCATTCGCAACATTTTAGTAACTTCCCAATTGGACCAGAGTCACTCATGATGTCCATAAGGATGAAGGCTGGAAGGGATAGGAGTTATGAACAGGGGTCAGGAGCTACAATTTGATTTATTCATAATGAGCTGGAGAGCCAACAGTGCAGTACTAGGTACTTTCAGGGGCACTACACCTGACAGGCAGGGAGCACCACTTGCTACACCTGAAAGTTACAGATCTACCACTCCTAGTGGTGAAAGGTTACATAGTGATGCTTTATATAGCATCCCAAGGTAATCATATATTTGAATCAAGTGTTTTAGGACACCTTTAAAAGATTAGGGTTAAGAAACAGTGATGCACACTTTCTACTTCTAGGATTTTACTTTGAATGTAAAGCAGTGCTGAAACGATGTCTTCAAACCTTAATGAACTGAAGAAATTTTGGGAGAAAGGTTGGGCAAAGAGTCAACCACAACACCAGGAGAGATGAATATAATCATGCAGAAAACTACTATATTAATGTAGCATAAGCTTGTTCTACAAACTGTTGAACCATTGACGATCTAAAGATAAAACTTTTCTTTTTTTTTAAGGGTTCCACGACTGCTTCAATATTGACATAAAGACACCAAGAATCATCAAAGGTCCTAAGCAAGCCCAGTTTGGATACACTGTTCAGCAACATGTTGCTGCAGGAGGAGATAAATGGTAAGGGACTTCAATGATTTCTGCTGCTTGTAAAACACAGGAGACCCAATATATATTTCATCTGTGCGCTTCCCACAGAAGAATAACATTTTTGGATCTTTAAATATGGAGATTACTCTCTTTAAATTGAGTCCTTGATAATTCTTTGCAACTTAATCAAACATATATCTATTGTAAGCAAATCCAGCACCTCTACAACTTGGTAAAACATCTATTTTTTATGGTCACTATAAGGAAAAATATTTTGCTCTTTTTAATAACCACATTTTAATAATCTGAATGCTGTGATATAAAGTATGTTTATGGCTGTACGGGATGTGTGTTTCTGGCTTTTGTTATGCAATAGCAATTCACCTGGATGGTTTTATTCAAATGTTCTTCTTTTTTGTAAAGATTTATGTCCTTGCCTTTGCAATCTTAACTTTAGTCATTGAGATTTCAGGGATCAAAAACATTAGGACTTTAGAACAGATGTTGACAAGCTGTAGCAGTGAAATACAGTTGCACTTGGCAGGAGGACAGTTGGATGTCTCTTTTCTTTTCCTTCCCTGGAAAGATTCAGATCTACTGTATCTCTCCTGGGGTCCTCAAAGTTTCCTTCTCTTAACCTGAAATTGGGAAACAAACTGGAGCTCTGACCTGAATTCCTCACATCCATCACATTACCTCATAACCAAAGCTCATTCCTCCTGCACACTATTATTAGGTCCACTGGCTCCGTGTGGTGGCCAAAATTAGATTCTGGCATACCCAAAATTTCTGCTGGCAAGTATTTTTTTGGCTTTTCGTCAAGTTCCAACTTTTTTTTTTACCTTCAGTAATAATGTTATGAATTAGAACCAAACTTAGATACAAAGATACAGTTGTATTACCAGAAACAAAGTAAACTCTGAAGCTTACTTATAAATATTTGTTATCATTTTAAAGCTACTTTATCAAACTGACCACTATAGTTTGTGTTTTATTTAAACACAATTTTCTCTTATCCCTCTTACTACAACATACACATTTTTTTTATTTAATATATTTTACTACCGGATGGAAATGAAAAAGTACCTGAGGAGTAATTCACACCCAGTTACATTTTTAGTCTTAGCACAGAGGTTTAAATGGATTTAAGTATGAATTTTGACTGGATCATTCTAACAAATTTATTTGCTTTTATCTAAACCTTTTTTTGCATGTATGATCGTATATTAGTGGTATGAGGTAAGTCTGCTTTTGTGCAGAGGAACAGTGCTCAGTGTGATTTTCAAGGTGTTGATCAGTTTTTATAACTAAAGCACCTCTCTTTATTCCTCACCTTTTAATCATACAGAGTAAGAGGGGCTCAGACAACTCAGATTTTATTCAAAGGGTTCAGAGTAAAGGGGGCTGGAAAATAGATTTATGTGGCCTTTTTCAGTTAAACAAAGCTTTAAAACTTTGTTTAATTTTCCTATACGCTCCACAACTGAACAATATTCTGTGCAGATTTATCACATTAGACTCCAATAAAATTCATTAATGCATGTGGTTGTGATTTGAATTGAATATAAGGATGTTATTTAAATAAACACTTTTGCAAAACACTCTGTACTTTCATCAGTTATTTTTCCTAGCTTTGTATGTTTGTTTTTGGATTAGACTTTTTTTTCGTAATAAACTCCCAATGGCTATTCTACTACAAAATGGAATCTTTCCTTGGTTGAAGCTCTCAAATTAACCATTAATATAGCATAAAAACAGAGTTTTATTTAAACATGCAAGCTATTGCTGCAGTTTCCCTTTCAAAAAAGACATTTTATTACTTCACTTAAAGAAGTGGTTTAATGTCAGTGTTTTCATAACTCTGTACTGCTGTAGTTAAAATATTTAACTTCTTTTCCCATAAGTTTTTAGTGTCCCTCTTAGCCAGATAACTGCTCTCTTTGACCTCTGAGCTGCCTAAAGTATGAGGCCTGTGTTGTTTTATGCAAGAGAGCATGTGAAAACTAAGAGAATGGTAAATTCATACAAAGGACAACGAGACTACAGAAGCTGGACATAAAACCTTATATTCTGGGATTTCTGGTAAAAAAAAAATAAAGTAGATGCTTCTACATGGATTGGTTTGAGTTAGACTATGTTGCTGAAATTTATGACCTGATCATGTTTACAGACAATAAAATGTTTTAGGGAAAAAAAGAGATGTCCTTACTTGTTTTAAAAAGCCAGTTGTGGATTGGCGGTCAACATGAAATTAGGATCGGGGCTCTAGTGGTTAACTTCAATTTGAGGCCTTGCGTAACTACGACGACTCCATAATTACAAATAGTCAGAGCCTAGGCTGCAAGTTTAATTTGAACAGTACATGCTGCACTGTGAAACACAAGTATTTTTTTTTCTAAAAAGTGGTGAGCAAACCATGTGTTCTAGAAGTGAAAAGTGCCTGATGAAGCTGACGTGTGTGGAATGAAGGACACCAGAGACACTGCCTGAACTGAGGTAAATGTCTGAGAATGAAGTGGAAACATTTTCTTTTCTGGAAGAACGGTTTTGTACAGACTGCACAAAGCTTACACGTTGGTGGAAATTGATGATAGACACCCTCTAATATATTTCTTTAAGCCCCCTTAAATAGTATATAAAATCGATAAGTTTTTTAAATAAGTCTGCAGATTTCAGTTTGTCCCCTGTTAAGTGTTTGTTTCCGGTTCTTGATCAGCTGACATCTACTGCATCGGGTATCCTGTTTGTGTTATTCTTCAGTCCGTCTGTTTCTCAAGCTGATGACTCTGTCATCCTGAGTTTTATCACATAGGTCTGCTCTTTGGACCAACAGCTGGATACTTACTCATCCAAGAAACAGTTTGTTTGCAAACCTGAGGAAATATACAATACAGAGTGTGACAGTTCTCAGCTGGAAGACGAAAAAATCTTCCTTGGTTATAAGCTTTTTAAACAAGACTTGGGATAAAAAAGCTTATATAGGATTGCTGTAAAATACCAGGTTCACCTTCTGCATGGTTTAATTGAGGAAAATTAATGAGAACGAACAAAGAACTTGCAATGTACAGAAGCCCATTTCTCTTATACCCTGGCCACGAGGCTGGATAAGAACCATGCTTATATTGCTCACATGAACAATGAGCAGGATGGTAAGTGAGGTAAAGGAAATATTCAAAAGTTAAGTTAGGGGGGAAAAAATGAGTTTTCGGGTTAAAACAGCCACAACAACCTTTAGCTTCTGCCTTCATGCTAATGAGCTGTTTGAGGATGATGAAACAAAAGAATGCTGTCCTCCATTGTAAATATAAACACTGCTGGTTTTTGACTCAAACTTTTTGCTTTGTTCAAATGAGACTAAAATTGTGTTTCCAGGCATCAGATACTTATTGTTTTGTGTAAATCCTGAGTAAACTACCCGTACTCCTCAAAGAAAAGTACTATGAAGGATTTTGATACCATGGACCTTTTCTCCTAATTAGTCTTTTATCATTTACCAGAAAACTAAGATTGCATATTATCGTATGTTTTAGCATGGAAAAAGCAGACAGCATTGAGAACATGGGTGCAAACAATTAAGCCCCTTTTAATTGTTTCTTAGTGTTGAATGATTTTACCCACTGAATTGATTTTAATATTAAAAGTTAATTGTTTTTCCTATTAAATGATTTTGATGTAAGATTGTTTTGTTGAAAATGAAATGGCAGGTAAGGCAATTAAATATATTTACCATGTGTACCTCTAACACCAGCGTATGTCTTATTTCTTAAAATATTCTTCTTAGCTACTGCCTCAAAATTAAATATGCCACGATGTCAACAGAACACTGGACACAACACATACTGACTGATAATGTTGGCTTTTGCCCAAATTAATAAGTTTTAAGGAAGTCTACTCATTAGGACTTAATTTTTTGATACTTACAGAACACAAATTTAAGATCTAAATAATAATTAAATTACTTTAAATACTTAGAGTGGCAGTTGACCAGATTGCAGATGTATGGTTACCTGACAAGTTATGCAACAATCTTTTTTATACCTTGACTGTAAATGACGGACCATTAAATTTTAGCAAAGATTAGTTAAAGATGAGCTATTACTGTTATGTATTATATTATACTTTAGTGCTTTAAACGCTTTCAATACAGACTCTCATCTCTGTTAGATAAAAACAGGTAAGAGCCAAGTAAGAGCCTGGGTCTCAAATTTGATGGGAAATTTGAACTTGCATATTTAAGCTCTGCAGTAAAAGGCTCCCACTCACTATTCCACTGTTTATTTTTCTACAGTCATACTAGTTCTGCTCAACTGAGACTTGACCTCTGCTCATTAGATGCACATTGCTAAGAACCACAGGGAGTCTATGAAGTCTTTTGCTGCTGGTCTGAACTTTTTCTGCTTTATTCTACTTTTTGTAGAGCAATGCAAGATGCTTTCTATAGACTTCCTGAACAAGCTGTAAGAAAAAAAAAAAGAGTTGTATTTCTGATACCATGAGACCTAAGTTCTTAAGCTCGAGTTTGGTGTTTGATCAACATATTTTGGTAATGCACTTGAAGAGCAATCAAAGGACAGATGAATGCACTAACTGTATTTTATGCCAGAAACCTTTACAGAAGTTCTGCACTTCTTCTTTTAAACATATGACACTTTTGATTATATCTTGCAAATTATATTATGAAGTATATTTCATTTCCTGTTACAAAAAAAATAAATAAATAAATCAACGCAGTCACCTGAAGGGCCCCATGCGTTTCTGTTATAGCATTTCTATACAAGGTCATAAATGGGCTGCAGAGTGGTATTGTGCTTAGCACTTTAACCACACTCTTAAGGTGTATTTTCACTATGTCTTCCAGAATTCCCACCAGAATCAAGTTTTCCAGAACGTTCTGTTCTACCAACGTCTGTTGTGTTTGTTTCCACTGTGGGGTTAAAAAACAGGCTGGTTGTGTAAATAGACCACTGATGCTGAGAACGTCCTCTTCCTACTAAAACGGTGCATTGCTTTGGAAATGTACTAAAACCTAA